TTCACAATACTTGCTTGTACACTATAGAGTCTATTCAGTAAGACCCTTGCGAAGTTTATGCTGTTCGTGCTGTTAAGCAAGTGCTGGCAATTTCTTTTGATATTCCGTTGGAGATTTATCTGGAAGAAATAGACATGAAGATTGACATGTATTTTCTTAATTCCGAACTCTATATAATTTAGTTTTAAATAGTAGAAGAAAATTCTTTATGCAAATTCAATTATTTTCACTATAGGACCTGGAGCTGAAATTACGAAAGTTGGTTTATTTAAATAAGATTATATCGTCTCGATCAGATTCATCTGTAGCCGTATTAAAACAAATTGACTCGTGCAACTAAACGAGCCCATATTCAGATGTTGTATCAGCTTTTCAGAACCGTAATTATTGGTATGATCAATTACTTTGTTACAAGGTGCTATGGAAAATTCAATTGATGTAATTATAGCTCTTTTGAAAATTCAATTCAAATGTTCCTCGTCGCCTCATCATCTTGGTAAAGAAACTTTTGAAGTCACAATGAGAAATAATGGGGAGACAAATGCTTACTTAAGGTAACTATAGAACCTAAAATCATTAAAAATTAATAAATCTATTGAAAAGTATGATTTAATGTCTAACATAAAATCTAATAGAATAGAATTAAAAATGTGAGCAAATTTGATAAAACTTTTAAATCACTTTCTTCAAGAGGAATATTGAAGATATAAATTTTTTTTTAATATTATTAATATTAATAATTCATTTATTAAAGGAACCTGTCTTTAAAGTTATTAACTTGAACATCAAAAATGGATTCAATAAGTTAGTATGCTTGCTAAATATTTATGTAAATGGTAATAAAATCAGTAATTAAAAGTTAGTCACATTATAGATATTATTTTTAATTAGCCATTAATAAATTTTAATATAAAATAATCTTTTTATAATTTAATCACATGTTATATAGCCTTTTTTATTATAACTGAGTATTAAACAAGTAACATTACTTAAAAGGAAAATATATATTAACTATTAAAGTCATTAAGAATGAGGCATTGCAGTCTTCAATATTCATTAGATTATTAATGTTTTATTTGTGATCTCATTGAAATTTAATATATTTCTTATATTTTTTAAATATAAAATACATTAAATTAGCTCTGTTCAAAATTGATTAGTTGCATTTTTTGTTCAATTTGTATCATATAAAATTTATCCAATAAAATTTTATTTTAAACTAGTTAGTAATCCATTACTTTACAATATGATATAAGTCAAAACTTTATATATCATATAATATTAATCTACAAATAATATTATTTTAATTTGCTGATAATTTAATTAAAAATCAAAAATTTTAAATATATTAGTTAATAAAATTCATATTCTATTTTTTATAATAAGAGTATTTAGGTTAGTATTATAGAATCCTAAATATCTTTTATTTAACTTATAAATGACATATAATAAAATACATTTTTTACAATAACTTAATTAATATCAATACTAGAAATATAATTTATTACTATTAGATTTTTCTTATCTAGACAATTCTAATGAATTTAAAATTATCAAAATCTGATCACTAGTTAACTTAAAAATAGGAATATTTAGAATAATAAATTTGAAAATATATAATTCTGGTTAGAATTAATATATAAACTTTACACAAACTCTAATATAAATTATATTAGAGATATTTGAAATCTTAATATTATTTGTAAAAATTTTAATAAAATTTATATTGCTAATTTTAAAAATTTATTTAATAATATAATAATAATAATAATTTCTAATTTCTTTTTATTTTATTAATATCATTTAATATTACATTATTATTTCAATATTATTTTCTAATATTACATTATATAAAATTTTAAATTTTATTAATATTTTTATATTTCAAATTCAAATTTTTATATTATTTTTATTCTAATTTTTAATTCTAATCTTAATTTCTTTAAATCTTTTTTTATAATTTTTTATGTATTCTTTCACAATCTTTATTTATATATTAGTTTTTAATATTTCTAAGGTTATTATAATATTATTATTATATCATTTCTATTATTCTTTTGCATTTCTTAAGTTTTATATAGTAATTCTCTTCTTTTCTTTTACATTAGTATATATTTAGATTCCTTCTTTATTATTTTTATTATTTTTTTTATAGTAATATAAGTTATATAAATATTTTATAATCTTATCTCGTAAGTTTTTTTTTTTGAGTTTATTTTGTAATATTTATACATATTTGTAATTTATTTTCTTTTTCTTCTTTTATTCAAAGAATCCTTTAATTTCTTTCTTTTTCTATAACTTCAGATATATATTTTTCAGGTTTATCTCTATTTTTTTTTATGTAATTTATTTATATTTCATGATTTATTCATATTCTAATTATATGATATGTTTATATTATTTGTTATGTAATTTATCATTATGTATTTTATTTTATGATATGATTTCAGTTATTTATTTATTCCTTAGTTTAAAACTTAATTTTTTCTAATATTATATGATTTATTATGTGATTTTTGACTAATTATTTTTTCTTATAACCTTTTATTTGATTAATTATTTTCTAATATCCTGATATTATAATTCTTTTAATATTATTTAAAAAATTACATAATATGTTATTTTAAGATTTCTGTCTTTATAACTTTTATTATTATTTATTTTATTATAAAGATTTGTATTATCTGACAAAATTCCTATTTTATTTAGCAGTTAAATATAGTTTAAGAAAAAACTTTATTTTAGATCAAAGCTATATATTTGATAGTTTTTTTTTATATTAATTAAAGATTTATTATAACATATTTCTTATTAATAATTAAAGGTATTGATATAATTTAAAAAAGTAATTTTTAATATTGTGCTTAAAAATATAATTACTATAAGTTAAATTTAAAATTTTTAAAATTATTAAAATTAATTTAAAATTTTAGTAATTTAAAGTTATTTATAATACCTTTATTATATAGGAATAGTTAATAGAAAAGGGAGAAATTTACAAATTTTAAGTAATTTTGGTTATTAAGCTAGTTTTATTCACAAAACTATGATCAGCAAAGTGAACCAATAAAAAAATTTTTGACTAAAAAGTGGATTTTTCCTTTTCTACTGACCGCCTCCTATATTGTTAAAAATGTGTAGTAATTAAGGTTATTAAATAAAACTTAAAAGTTTTACAAATTATTAAAAATAGTAATAGGTAAATTTTAGCAAAATTATATTAAAACCTTATTAAAAAATCTGTGAAACTCTAAAAAGATAAACTATAATAAAACTTATAAATATGAAATTATATCAAAACTTTAATAAAAAATTAGCAAATTAACTATATTTCCTATATTTGAAAAAATAATATCATGAAATTAAATTAAATTTTAAGTTAATATATGAGATAATATTGATATCTACTATTATTTGAATATATTCTAAATGAAATAGTTGATATCTCTTGAAATGTTTTTGTTTAAACTATTTAGTAAACTAAACATTTCATTTATTTCGTGAAATGTTAATCCAGAAAAGTTTAAATTTTCTTAAATCTCAATTTAGATTTTACTTTTTTTTGAGAACAAAAAAAATTTTATTAATTTTTTTTTTTATATATTTGAGTTAAAAATTAAATAACTAGAGCAAATATTCATGTATCTATTAAATCTTTTCTTTTTTTATAGAAATAATTTTAATTATACTAAAGCTTAAACTTTAAAGAATAAAAAAAAATTAATTATATTTATTAACAAAGATATTTTTTTTTCAAATAAAATTACAATTAATAAAATAATAAAAAATTTAAGATCATTTATTTATTTGAAATCTTATTAGGAATGCATTCTCAATATTCTAAATATGATTTTAAAATGATAGTTTTTTGTTGATAAATAATTCATGTTACATTGATTTGTAATTTTAATCTAACTCAATATAGAATATTAAAAAGTTAAATAATATGTAATACAAAATAAATTTGCTAATCAAGAAAATAAAACATCACAAGTATTTAAGATAAATATCATAATGAATTTTATATAAAATAAGAGTATTGTAATATAATTTTTAAACAAAATTAATAATATTAAATCAATTTACTAGTTTAAACTTGATTAACATTAAGATGATTACACAGATTTTTACTAAAATAAAAAAGGAGGGTTTATATATCTAATTCTACAATAATAAAATGAATTCTTTAATAGTATCAAATGAAAAAGAGCATAAACTTAATCCTTGTTTTTAAAAAGATGAACTATATAAGTATAACAATTATTCTATATATGATAAGATAAGATTAATAAAAAGATTCTTGATATAGTAAATTTATTTTTGTTTAAGTAAAAATAGAAATACAGATCAAAAGTCAAGTCAAACGTTAATATATTTAATATTGTCAGATCGTTTGACCCACTCTTTTTTTTGATATAAATTGATGATATTTGAATAAATTATTTCTAAATAAAAATATAATATATTCTTATGATGAATATATTATAAATAAAATAAAAAAATCTTCAAAGTATTCTCTTATACCTTGAAATTGAAATTCTATAAGAAATGGTCTATCAGCTGTAATTTCATAATCAATAGTATAAGTCAATAAGCTTAGAATTGTATTTTTAGAGGTTCTGCTTTTAATTGAAAAAAATATATGTATTTAGAATTGAAAATCGTAAATAAAATAAAATAAAGAAATCATTTCATGACAAATTAAATTTGATAAAGTTCTATACTAAAATTTAAAAATGTTTAGAATCATAATCTTCATATCATGAGTACCACTTAGAAACTATTAAAAAGATTCTTAAAAAAAACTTAGAATCACCAAGAGCTTTTTGTAACTTACTACCAAGTAATGTCAACATCCTATTTATTAATTTGAATTTTTTTCAAACAAATAAAATAACTAAAAATATGAATAGTATATTTATTTTTTAAAGATTAAATAAATATGCATTGATATCATATTTGGCAAATTAATTAGAAATTGACTTAATATTTCTGATTTAACTTATTTAATTTACAAAACATCATTTTTGGCAAATTCTTATCTTATATAAATGGAATATAATTTGAAATTTTATTGATATAATGACAATAAAATATTTTAAAATTGAACTTTTAAAAAATTAAACAATATCATATAAAATAAATATTAATTAAACTTATTGTTTATATTTACTCTTGTAAAATAAATTACAACCTTTTCATATTATTCAAAAGCTTATTATTATATTGAAGAGATTAAAATAATAATGCATTATTCTCCTCATTATTGTTAAAGATCCTATTATTACAATACAAATTCAAACTTAAAAACAAATACCAAATATAGATAAGAGACAAAACTCCTTAATAACAGTCAAAACTTAGACAAAACTATTAAATTATAATAAGAATACGATGAAACCTATTTGATACGATAAAAGCTGAAACTATCAAAACTATATTAAAACATAGAAAAGGATATAATAAAATTATTTTGAGAAGATTTTAGTAGGTATCTATAATACCAAGGATTGCTCTAATCTCATTACACAGCAAGTAATTTCTTAAATTTCCTATTCTGAATTATTTTGTCTTACTGCGATTATTTAAATTAATCCAAAAGCTTTAAAAACTATTATTATTTCTACTAATACCTTCCATCAAAAATAATTTAATAAATGCTACTATTATATAATTAACTAATAAAAGCCTTGATGTTGAGATTGAAATAAAATAAGTAAAAGTATCAATTTTAAATTATTTTACTTAGATATTTAAAAAGGTGTATTAATTAAAATAATCAGATTTTGATGGTAGACTAGTGGTGATAATAGTAGTATTAGTGGTAATAGTGATAACTTTAGTAGTAATAATAATACGTTAAAACTGTAATAAATTAAAAATTTTGTCAAAGGTTTAAATCATTAACTATTATCATTTTTACAATAAGATCATATGAAAATTTTTTCAAGAAGTTAACTTAAATATAATTTCTAGATATATATATTATAAATTAAATATTTTGAGATTTTTTTTTTAAAAAAAGTCTAATAAGATTTTATATTATAAGTTAAATTTTAAATTTTTAAATTTTAACATGATATAGACAAAATGATACATATTATATTTTATAATTACCTGATAAATAAGTTTTTTAATAGTAACTTTATTAAGATTTAAATGCGTAATATTATTTTGAAGTTTCAAATTAGCATGATAGACTTTTCCAAAACTGTCAATACCAATTTCTTAAATATTGATACATAGAATATTTATAATATTTTATAAATACTTTTGAGAAATACTTCAATCCAATTAATAAGCTAACTAGATAAAAATACTTAAAATTAAGATTGATATGACCTTAATCGCATATTTCAGCATCTAAATTCAGCAATTAATAAAATATCAAATGCTTTAATATTTTCGTATTTTACGAATTTTTACTTAAATTTAAGGTTATTTTGAAAGATTCTTTTAAAAAGTATAAACAAATACATAGCTTAACAACAAAAATATAAGTAATTTACAAGGGAGAAATAATTTTTTAGTTACAAAGATAAGTACTTAGATAATATTTATATAAACTTTAAACAAAAATCTTTTTTTTTATAATAAAACAATTATTATTCAAAAAGTTTTTTATTATTTTATACTTGAATATTTCTCTTATTTATGATATTATTATGTATTTATTTACAAAATATTTCATTTTATTATATGTAATATATTAATAATATATTACTTATGAAATTTAAGATTTCTAATTTTAGTTTTTGATGACTCTAATAATCTTTGACTTTTTTTTATCTACCCTTTTCTAATGTTACTTTAAAATTACTAATAGTTATTCAATTTTTTATTAGTAAGAAAATTTGATGTTATTCAATTTTAGAACAATTCTTTTTTAAATTATAATGTTAATAGAATGTGATCTTTACTTTTTTTTTGTTAGAGACATACTCTATTGATTAGTTAAAATACCTTCTAAAAGTTGAGCAAAAAGATTGTTAATTATAATTGGAGTTATTTATTTGTAAAGATACTAAAAAACTTAAAAATTTCTAATTATAATATTTCTGAAAATAGATGATGACAAGAGGGTCAAAATTTTTAAAATTAAATAACGTGATATTATTTCAAAATATTCAGTTCAATAATTATTTTAGTATTTATTTTTTACATATATTATTAGTTTATCTTAAAAAGAAAAATTTTGTTGGAAAGTAAGCATTTTCAGAAAATGTTTGTTCACATTCATTATTTGATTGTTCAATAATAATCATATTTTTTAAGTCTCCTATCAATAATACATGTAAAAAAAGTTGAATAGAACTAAATCAGCTTATATATTATTGATAAATTATGTCAAATAATGATTTACCAAAAGAATTGAATAAATTTGTCCATTAAAGCTTATGACTTATATACTTTAGAAATTCCCTATATAGTCATTTTATAACTAATCTTATTTAATAAATTTTTAAAATAATATGGTATGATATATCTCATCTATAAATTACAATAATATAATACAATTTTAATTATTTATAATTCAGGAAAAAAATAATAAATTACAAAATTAAACTGATAAATTAATAAAACATGATATGCCGATCATTTTTAACAGTTTTATTTTTTAAAAAAATAATCTACATTTAGATTTATTTTTACTTATAGTTCAGAAAATCTTAGTAAAATATATATAAAAAAGGGAAATTTTAGACTGAAGATTAATATGTTAACAAGTGAATTTTTATATAAAAATGGCATATTTTTTTATAGAATTAGTAATAACTCATCTATCTAAATTAAAAATTTAATATAAAAAATAAGAACGAAATGATAATAGAAGATTTATAAAAAAATCATAGCTTACTGATGATTCAGAAGATAATGATGATAGTTAGAAGAATGTTAATGATAATTGGGAAGATGATAGTTGGAAAGATGATGATGATAGTAGATGAGATTCTGAAGTTAATTATTTAAATGAAAAAACTGCATATGATAAAATATAAGAAAAATCCCTTGAATTAGTTTAGTCAGATAATATATATTTAAAAATAACGAAACATAGACCTTATCTTACCAAAAAAAATGAAGAAGTCAATATATTTTAATAAATACAGACCAAGTGATTCATTTACAAAGGCTACAAAGGGGTTTATGAAGATTATAACTTACCTGAACAAATTAATTTTGGATAATGCAGAAAATGAGAAATGAAATAAACTTGTTTTAAATGAAAAAATCAAAAATTTAAAAATTGAACTTCAAAAAATAAAAAATATTAATAGTAACTGAATACAATAAAAAGTGTGCAATTTTTGAATACTTAAAGAGATTGAATGAAAATGGAAGAAAAAAGATAAAAGTTAGTAAAGAAGCTGCTGAATTAGTTATATTGAATATATATCATTTAAAGTAAAGTCTATTCAATACTAGACAAACTATTGGCTTCAGTATAATTGGCTTCCAATAAGCTATCAAAAAAAATATTAAGAAACCATTCAGCTTATAGATGATGAAGACATAGCAGAAAAGTGCTATTCATAGATTTGATCTCAAGGTAGAATAACAACTCCATTGAAGTTCAAAGAATTTATTGAGCAAAAATTGCTCATTAATACAGGAATAATAAGAAAAAAATTATAAGTATGACAATGTCAGCATACTGGTTAAATGTAATTAGCTTTTCTTTTTAATCACAAAAACAAAATAAAAATATTATATTATGTATGAATTATAAATATAAAAATTAACAAATAAAAATTAAATTAAGAAATATATTATGATGATCATGAGTATCCCAATGTTATTGAATATTAAAAATCATTTTTAAAAGAAATTTTCAATTATGAAAAATATATAGTAATATATGAAAGTAAAAATATAAAACGAATTATATTAGTTTTAGGAACTGATGATAAGAAGATAATTTTGTAACACATGATGAATATGTATTTTATTCTAATAATGAAAAATAAAGTGTATAGGTAAAAGTAAAAGAGTTGTTATTACATAAAAAAAGTAATGGATGTTTGATTATAGTCAGTAAATTCTTATTAGAAGAATGTGGTTGACTTAAACTAAATGCTTAACAAATTCAAGAAAATCCTTTTATACCTCAAGAAGTATGCATTTATTTTCAATCAAGTAAAAATTAGGATAGGTATTAGACAAATGAATACTTAATAAACCAAATTCAAATAAAAATTATTCCAATTTTGAGACACTTTTTTCTAATTGTATTGGGCTGTTACATTTGATAATAGTTCGAATCATACAGCATTTAAATCTAATGCTCTTGTAACCAGTAAAATAAATTTAAAGTCTGAAGGGAAACAACCAAAAATAAAGAATACAATTTTTAGACTAAATAATCAATATCAATTAATAATAAATAATAATAATGAACTCAAAAGAATAAAATAAATATTAATTGAACGGAAATTGTGAAAAGATAGTCTAAGTACTAATTATAAATTATGTAAAGATAAGATATATGATATAACTAAAACAGATTGTTGTGTATGTCAATTATTTTATTACAACCTGATTTCTTAATACAAAAAAGTGCATTAGAAGAAATAATATTAGAAGCTGATTATAAAGTTATTTTTTATCCAAAATTTCATTGTGAGTTAAATTTTATTAACAATATTAGGATATGGCAAAAAAGTATACTTGAAAAATTGTAATTATTCATGACAGGATTTGTAATGTATTGTTTTTGAAGGTTTAGATTCTATTAGTATAAATATAATAAAAAAATTTGCCTAAAAGGCATAGTATTATATAAATTTGTATAAGAATAGGATTACTGGAAATTAGCAGAATATGTAGCTAAAAAATATAAATTCCATCATCAAATTCCTGATCATATAATAGCAGAATTAAAATAATTTTTATATTGTATTATAAAATAAAATCATATGAAAGTTACGTGTAAGTCACATAAAGTTATATTTAAAATTTTGAACTTTTGTGATTTATAAGTGAGATGCATCATACCCAAAATTCACTAAAAAAATGATAAAAATAGTAGCAGTGTAAATTCAAGAAAGTCTTTATTACTTTTCTAATATTGATTAAATGCAGATATTATTAAATGCAGATTTTTTATGTATAATAACCTGTAAATAGCACATTCTAATTAATAAAATATTGATTAGTGTATATCATTTGAAGGGAAAATTTATCAAAAGATTTCAATAAGGCTAAATTTCTTTTTTTCTTTGTAACAAAGAATAAATGGTTAATCTTATGACAGTTTAAATAAAAAAATGATCAAGAAATATGTATAATGATGTAATTTGAATTATATGTAATTTGAAAATATTTCTTTTCAGCATTGAATCAACATATGATAAAGAAACTATCAATTATATTTTAAATTCTAATCAACTAATAGAAACTAAATCAATAATAATTATCAATTAAGTGCAGCAAAATTATTTAGAAAAACTAAAAACAAAAAGATGTGTTTTCACATTTTTATTTAAAAATCACATACTCTAAATTTATCAAATATAATAAAAAATAATTTAACCTAAAAAGTAGAGTTTTAAAAAGTAAATGAAATTTTTTTCCCTGTAGAAGGATTTATTGATTCTCTTATTAGAAACGATCAAAAAAAAATTAAATATTGTATTTTTTTAAAGGGTTAACAATAATATTATATGTTCAATATGATCATATGATCATTTTTCATATATATAAATGTTCAAATAATTGACTTAAAAAAATTCACATATTCAAAATGTAACCTATAATTCTTTGTCAGTTTCCTCAATGTATTTTTAAACTCCACCTTTTTCTAAAAATCTTGTGATTGATTTATTTTAAATAAATCAAAATTAAAAAAAAAATGGTAGTGACCTATAAGAATAGACTATTTTAAAATCTATAAAAAGAGAAAAAAAAATTATTGCTAAACTGAGGACTAAAAATTATTAATGAGATGATCCCTTCAAAAAAGTTTTATTAACACATCAAGGATGGCTTTAAGAATGATATATAACTTCATATAATTGCAAGAGCAATTCTATTTAACTTATAGTTAGTAATATTAAAGGCATTAAAATTTGGAGTGATTTTAATAATCTGGTTATTCTTTTTCAAACTTCTTATGGGTTTGTTTATTTGTTAAAGATATAAAAATTGCTTTATCAAGATTATAAAAGACTCAACAATAAAATAAGTTTGATGAAAAAGAATTTCTTTTGGAATGCTTTTACTATAATAAATCAAAATTTTCCTTTTTATATCTTTGTCAACATTACTTTTGATTTCTAAAACAAAAAATTGAGTAAAATAAACTCAAAAATTTATAAAAACATGTAAAGGGATTAGAGATGAATCAATAATCTTTTACTTTGAGGATAACTTTTTTTCTTAAAATATAAATATTTAAAGAATCTATTAACTAAAATATTCACAATTATCATTAAAAAGTATTATGATACATTGTATTAGAAAATACTAAGTTTAAATAGTAGAGTATGATAAAGAATAATTGATATCAAAATGATACAATACATTAATTCCAAATCTAAACTTATATTGAATTAAGATCAATAATATGTATACTGATTAAAATTGACAATACAAGTTTTTTTTCTAAAAGATCTATAATATCAAACGATTTCTTAAATATAGTCTTTTATATGATTATAATGCTTATTTATTAATTTGGATATCAAAAATTTTATAAATAAAAAATAAATAAATTAATGAATAAACTTCTGAATAAAACTTTTTAATATATAAAAATATTTATATTATATTTAATAATTGTCTTTGACAGTTTCAACCAAAAAAAAACCTTGAATTTTATTTAAAGATAAAGAGTAATAAAATAAAATAATAGTAGTTTTAATAGCTATGCTTTAAGCCTAGCTTCATCAGTTATTTTATTATTGAAAAAATTAGATCATTCTTAAATTTATGCTTGAATTCTTATATGTTACATCAGTAACAGCTTCTTTTTACTAAAAAAAGCCCTTCTTAAATAATAATAATAAAATTAATTATTTTTATATCTGCTCATCATTTTTTTTTGACAGCAAATACTGTTTTTAATTTAATATCATATTTTTGAAAACTTGTAATTACCAATCATATGATAAATTGTGAATTCTATATCTATAACTCTGTTTAATGCATAGCAAATATCTCGATTTATTACATAGTGTAGTGATCATATATCGATCACATGTCATTTTTATCATGTTGTTTTTTTAATTTATTATTTGTTATTTCAAATCAGAATTTCGTACATAATAATATATCCTAATATTTTATATATTGTTACTAGCAATATTTACCTGACGATGCTTCAGTTTAATTCTGAAAATTTTAAATATAAATATAATTACTGATCAGATCACCTGGTAATTTATCTGAAAATCTGATATCTGATCCCAGAAACCTATTGGTGTAGTATGATATTTTTTATAGTAAGGCAGTGTGTAAATCAAGCCAAAAATCATTTGATATAATATATACTTAAAATATACTTAATACTAAAGTATAATATTTATTTATAAAAAATTGAAAAATAATAAAAAAAAAAATAAACTAGTAACTATAACTATCTTTGATTAAATCTAGAAATTCCATTCCAAAAAATATATGCTTTTTCATAATCATAATTACTAAAATCTTTAGGATCATTTAATGAGAAAAGTAAATGAAGGAAAATTTTTTATATACAAATATGCACATTTTGTGACATTAAATGTATACACTAAATTTTTTAATGTATACATATGCAATTGTATATATGGATTTTATACATTGGGAATAACTGCTATTTTATATATAGGTATGACTAGTAATTCTATCTAGATGATGCCTCAGAGTCGCTATTATAATAGAAGTGAATTTTAATTATTTTTTATTTTTTTTTTTAATTATAAGGTATTTAGTTGCAAATCGTTCTTTACCAAGCCTGATGATTGTAACTGTGTTTAAAATAATAAATATTTGTCCTTTGCTTATTTTTATTTAAAAGAATACACTTGGAAAGTTCTAAGATTAACAAACATGATGAAGAAGAAAATCCTGAAGATGTTTCTTTAGGCAAAGTAGCGCCGCGACGGTCAGACCGTAAAAAAAGTAGGTCTAGATCACGGAAAGATTTAAAAGAAATTTCGTCACACCCGAACGGAGATAGGTTCGTATTTCATATAAACATTAAAATCAACTTATCATCATCATCTATTAAATCTTTCTCAAATTTTGCAGGCATTCTTCAGACGAAGAAGATCAATCAGTGTCTGTATTTATAATATTTTCGTCCAATATTTTAACAAGGTAGTTTCTTTAACTTACCGGCATGTTAATAAGTTTTATGATGTAAAATGTTCTAATATTTATATCCTATTTTTATTTTATTTTTATTATGGAAGAATCAATAAGCATAGAAATAATTTATGTTGGGGAAGGATATGCGAAAAATAATTTAATTAATAAATTGAAGTTGATTAAAGATCGGATGTTAAATCAACACATATACTGTAGATTGGAAATAATTTATAGTAAAACGTGAAAATCTTTATAATATAAAATTCTTTTGTTTCTATCAATTGATTTTAAAATTCCAAATGTTAAATTCAGATATTCAGTTACAACTAGAATTCACAAATAATTTCGAAAATCTTCCTCATAGGGTTACTTACCCAATTAGCACGTCAAAATTTAGAGAGATCACCAATTATTAAATTTTCCAATCAATATAAATCTACACGCGGTTTAATTTTATTAATAAATTTTTTTTTTCCCTTTATTGCAGCAATCTCAAAATGATTTTAACACATCGCCACCACCTTTAATATCACCCCAAAATCCATCTTTAAAATTTCTCATACGGGAATTTCTCAACTAATTTTGAACTATAAATATGACAATCCGGTGGATAAGCATAAAACTGATTTGAAGTATTATATCATCATTAGGAGAATTGTACCAAATCAATTGAATAATCTAATCAATTACGTTTGTTTAGTTGATAGTTTCATCCATGCTAAGCATCAACAAGTTGTAGAAACTCCTCTCAGAACCCTAACTCGTACCATGAACTTTGCTTTCATCACGATCATCTTGTTGATGAATTTCGTGAAACTTGATAATTTAATATCTGTTCATGTAATGCATCTATTGGAGTATCTTTCAAACCTTCTGCAATAGATCTCTTAAATAAAATTTGATGTCATCAGACTTCTCGGGTTATGGACATTTTTTTGTAGGTAATTTAATTACAGTGGAAAAAATGAATTTATGTTTATGTTATTTGTTTTTGTGTATTTATGAAAGAAAACAAAAAATTTTTTTTTTTTTTTACTGCAAATGCTATTAAAAAATTGAGGGTCAATATTATAAAGTTGTAATATGAAAGTAGAAATGAAATAATTATTATATACTTTAAATAAGTTTCAAATTTTTATAAAATATATAGGGTTCCACCATTAACTTCACTCCACTGTATTTGAAAATCACTTTCAAATGACCCTTGAAGGAGCCGGCCGGCGAGCCTGCTCGCCACTTGCATATTTCAAAGGAGGCGGAGGTTTCAACATCAATTTTAATTCACTGTGGGGAACAATAAAATAACCTTGATGGTCCGAAAGGCCTTCCTGCTCGCCAGGCTTGCATATTTCAAAAGGAGCGATGGCGAAGGTCCTTTATTATTTCAACCTTTCCCCGGTAAAAAATTTTTGAAATTGGGAAAATTTTCACGAAATCTGATTCTTTCGATTTCGGCTTAAAGGACCCGTATACAAATAATAATAAAAAGTGTTGTAATCTACATCATGTATTTTAACAGGGATTGAATTTTTAATATCAAGCATCCAATCATTTTTAATTAAAGTTTTGAAATAATGAGATGTTTCGGTCAAAATAACTTTAATAACTTTATTTAATCTAGAAAGGCAAGAACAGAATAAAAATATAATTTGTAAGTTAATAAATACAACAACAAAAAAAATTTCTTAACTTTACACAAGTATTAAACCAACCTTATTAAAAATTTATTTTCAATAGCCAAGAAATTTTGACTACAAAGGATGATTTTTTTGAACAAATAATTTTTTGATAATTAAATTACAAGCGGTTTTATATGAAAAAAAAAAATTTTTAATCTATTAGATTACAAATAAATGTATAAATAATTATCAAGGAGTTTAATCTATTAATGATCAGGAGTTTAATTTTGATTTTGATCTAATTTCGGAATTTTTGGTCTTGGATTTCAGAATTTCAGTCTAATTTTGTATTTTAATTTCATAGTTTGAAAATCAATAATAAAATAGTATATTATTCTTTTTTTATTATCATTGATATAATAATATTTGTAAGAAATTTAAGCTTTAAATAATTCAATGTAAATCTAAATTAAACTTTTTAGGTCGAAAGTTATTTCATTTATGTATAAATTCTTTCTTTGCAAAATAAAGAGGTTTTAAACTTATAGGTATATCTATAACAATCAGTATTTTGTAACATGTGATTAAAATGCATTTATTGTCTTTAAATATTTTTGTTTGAACTTCCTATTCCTAAATCATATAATGAATGTTTATATAAATCTTGAAGAATTTGAAAATCAATGCAAAAAAATGAAGAGGAAGAATATTAAATGAAATGATGAATTTTAAAGCAAATTAGATACTGAATATTAATTTTATGAAAATAGAAGCAATAAGATATCAGATATTTTTATTTTTGCTTAGAATTTAGCAAAAAAGAATTTCGAAAATACAAACACGTTCTGTATATAACCATGCTATTGACTGTAATAAAATACTGTGACTATCCCATCGCTAAAATTCCGAAAACGACTTTCAGTATAATCAGGTGATTACTTTATCGGCTAAGAAAAGAATCTAAGATTTGATCATTATAATAGCACGGATGTAAGCTGTAACTTTCGAACTAATAATCTGTGGATAGCTTGAAGCTCATGATGACATGAATATTGAGAAATTAAGCAAGTCATTTATTTCAACCATCCTTTTGTAATCATCATATTAATGTTTCCTTGTTACAGATTAGAATTCAGATATAGTTTTGCTTATTATAGAATTAAGTTATAAAATAATTCAACTTCAACTTGGTGATTTACTTTTCGTGTAGGGAAGCTATAAATTCACTGTTAATGTCAATAAAAAAGCATGAAGTTCAAGTGTCTACGTTTTTAAACCATGTACAAACCATTTGTGATTTATCAGGGAATGTGAGGACATACTTTGGGGGACTCGTCTGTGTCAACATAGAGACTAGCTTCAAGCTTTCCAATTATTTCTTCCTATTCCATCAGCTTGTCCTATCATATATAAATAATTAGCACCACTTCATCTGATGCTAATTTCTTTTAAGATACTTACATGAAACCGAGCAATCATCTTCAAAATACCCATGTATCTCATTCGGGAAGAAAAAGAAAATGGTAACTTCGCTGATTCTAATTCCTCTGCCAAGAATTTACCTCCTTCCATGAGATTGAGACTGTATAATGTAATTCGATCACCTGATGAACAAAAGATCACAATTAGTAGAGATTGTATCACCGTAAACTGGTATGTCTATTACTTGACAACTAAAGACGTTTAATTTCTTCGCCAATCGTATGGGAGCCGACAGGTATTCTCGTAATACAGCTATTAAAGTTAAAAGTTCCAGGTTCATGGATTTTCATATTATCATTAGCATGTTTCATTGAAAAGATACACGGAGATCCGGCTACTTCCAGATGCCACGTTTCTTGATTGTCTTGTATTCGTATTCCGTTGGCATCAACTTTAACGATGCCCGATTGTGAGTGTAACCTAGCCAACTTTGCTGCATGGGAATGTGCATCAATCCTTGTTTGAAGAAATGACGCTTAAGTTAGTTATTTGCGAACAGTTAAAATAGGAATGCTCAACAAAAGCCTACCAATTGAAGTACATTAGATCAAATGTCCTTTCATAAAACTTAAAAAGCGGACTAACATTTTGTACAATATATTTCCTTTCTCCAATATTCATGGAAATTGTAGGAAAGTTTTTTTTGGTTAGTTATATGTGGCGACTTTATTATTTTGGATGAACTGTGTCAAAAATATATACGTACAAATCTGTCAAGACTTTCTTACAATACAGTTGGAACTTAGGTTCATCGCTCATGGTCTGCTTCAGTGAATCTTCGAAACCTTCCTTCGGAGTCTGCATGAAAAAATAGTGTTTCAGCTAATAAATTTCTCGAAAATAAAATCCAAAAACCAAAATGAATTGGGAGCAAATGTACGTTCAAGACTGCATCTAAATATTTAACTATATGCGTCCAAACAGATGGTGGTTTTAGTGCCCTTCTTTTAATATCACTGATAAGCTCTGCGGCTATTTCCTTCCCCAGAAACTCCGGAAGATAATGCATGGTATTCTTGAATGCACACACAATTGACATATTTCCATAACAACTATTAAATAACAAACACATTATTGTTAAGTCATTCAGTTATACAGAAAGAACAAATGAAGGAATCGTACTGTTCTATCTCATCATGAGTGAGTTTCCGTTTGTTTGGTGTAGATGTAGGTGTTAGTGTTGGCGTTGATGGAGATGGTGATTGAGTGTACATTTCTTGTACCGGAAGGTGGTTAAACTATCATTCAGGAGGAAAAACGGCTGGGATTAAGTACATAAGCGAGCGAAAGATTATCAATGCAGACTGACAAGCAAACCTACTTCGTTTCCTTCCTGTTCCCCTTCCCTTCCTCCACTTCCTACTCCTAGCCTACGTTTCGTTTGTATTCTTTGTATTAGTAACCATTTTCATCTCCTTTAACAAAGTTTTCGGGATACTTACTGTCAGTGCCATAATTAAGTTTTTGGCGTTTCACGCCATCCTCCAAGTTGGCTATGGTTTTTGTGGTATCATATTTCATGCCTAATTTTTAACAGAGCTGCTCCCTGCGTTATCTATCATTGTAATACTGAATGTTAACAAAGGTATGAAGTACAATATTGAACTTTCGTAAAGGTCAAATATGCACAACATTACGAATTTCGCGGCAAAGTGAGTAGTATCCATTTTTATGTGACCAACTTGAAGGGTCTGTCTTGGACAGATACATCGTGTCAAGTGTATTAGAATCAGCAATAGCAAATTCAGCCATCAAAAATTACGCGAGGATGTTGGATAATCTACTACGCGATTTGTAGTTTTGACTTGATTGGCCAGAACGTTTGTACGACACAAACTCGAGTTTATAAATGCTAAATTTGGGTGATACAAAAATTGAAAGGCATTTCGAAAAACGAACAACGGACTAGTAAGGTCGGGACCACGCGAGTCTCCCGTTCTTTGCTTTCAGTTTGATTGCGTTGCGTCGAGCATTAGGCTAAGAAACCTTATCGGTGTCGTAGCGTCCGATCAGCTTTTTAGTTCTAAAGATTTCATTTACAGATGTTGACTTTTAACATTCTTTTCTAATTAGATCAGAAGGTTCCTCTCCTAACTGAAATGAAAGCGGCCCTTTGAAAAAGGGACATGATTTTCATCATTTTGTTTTACCTTGATGTAAATGAGATTATGATGCTAGATGGTTATAAATATCTCATACAAATTACCTGATTCCAGGACGAGAATCCAGGCGACATGACAAGCATGTGTTTGGAATATAATAAGAAGTTCTATGACATGAAATGAATGGTTAAAAATTACAACGAATTACGACTCAATAGGAAAGTCTCATACGTTATGGATTCCATAATATTGATTGTGGGACGAAGCTTCGCAACACACCACTTGACAAACACATGAGGTTCCGTAAAAATGAATCAACATTAAGGTTGTCGAATTGATGGTATCAGAATATAATCATATTTTTGTATTATGATATGTAAAGAATAAATTTCATCCCGTAATTTTTCCTGAATATGTAACACGTGAAAGATCATCGATCAAGACAATCATCGCATGTCGCAAAAAACGCGTAGAAAAAAATGCTTTTGTCTCGATCTATGGTATTGGGAAGAAACATCACAAGAAAGGCTAATCGAAAATTAATATAAGACGTTGGATGTACATGTAGCTGTGAGGTAAGTAAAGTTAGAAAACATCTTGATCAATCACTCTAATTTCATATAAAATTATAAAATGTTAATTGAACTTACCTCCTGTCCTCTTGATGCTTTTCATCTCGAAGCCGGATACTACTTTTTTCCCTATAACTAATCAGGGACTGTTTCATTCTAAATGTCTGGGTGCGAGCACAGCGTAGATTCCACTTCGATCATCACGTTAAATTTAAAATTTTTTTTTTTTTTGTAAAATGTTAAGTAGATATAATTTAAAGCATTTATTATAAAAATAAATGTATTATTTAATTAAAATTTAATAATAATAATATAATTTTGTTTTTTTATTAAGATTTTATAAAAATTTATTTAATTTAAAAATCTAGATTATACTGTAGATTTATCTATAATTGTTCAGCTTTAACTTTTTTTTTATAAATAAATTAATAAATATTATTTATTTAATTTTTAATTTAATATATATTAAAAAAAAATAAATAAATAAAAATAATAATAATAACAAATAATATTTCATTAAATCCATGATAAATTATAATTAGTAAAATTAAATAAATATTATAATATATATTTTTTTAAAATATTATTATTTAAACTTTTATAATATAAAATTTTAAAGTATTATATTATATTTAAGATATTATAAAAAATAGATTAATAAATTATTATTACATAAAAAATATATATATTATAATTTAAATTTTTAATAAAGTTTATATTATTATTTTATTTTTAATTTTTTATATATATATATAATTTTTTTTTTAAATTTAAAATATAATTAATTCATAACTTAAATCTAATAAAATTATTCTTTATAATTAATTTAATGATTTTTAAAATGTAAAAAAAAAATTTTTTTTAAAATTTAATCTTTTTATATTATTAAATATAATCTAATAAAATTTTATAAAACAATTTATAAATATAAAAATAAATATATATAAATTAATAGTTATACTAATGATTACTCAAGTCATTAAATAATTTATATATTAATTTTTATAATTTTATTTACTAGTATTATAAATAATCTATTTTATATTAATATATATAAAAAAATAAAAAATATTTTTTGAAGTAATATTAAATTTGAATTTATTTACTAATAATTTTATAGCTTGACTTTTACTTATTTATAATATATATATAATAATATAATATTAATTAATCATTTTTATAATTTTATTCAAAACATATAGCAATTGTTAAAATAATATTAAAAATTAATAAAATTTAATATTATAAGTAAAATAAAATTATTTTACAAAATAATAAATAATTATATATATAAAAATATACTTTTATTATTATTTTTATATAATATAAACTGATTTATTAAATATAATATTAAAATTAATTCTATTGATTTATTTTTTTGTAATATTTTATAACTTTTTAAAATCATAATAAATATAAAGTATATTTAAATATATATTTAAAAATATGATTTTTTAATATTTAATTAGAAGTTTTAATTAAATTTTATATAAATATATATTATTTTATTTTAAAATATTATATTAAATAATTCTTTTATAATATAAAGTTTTAAATTTTTAAAAATATAAATTTTATATAATATAAATATATAAAATTCTTTATTATATTTATAATTAATTACTAATCATATTTATTTTAATTTATTAATTCTATTAATAATTTATATATAGATTAAATTTTAATATACATAATATAAAAATAATCTTTAAATATAATTAAAAATAGTTTTTTTTTATTTTTATTTGTATATATATATATATATATTTGTCATGTAATATAACTAAATTAATATATTTTTATTAGTTTAAGAAATTAAAAAATCAGCTATGTGATAAATAGATAATGATAAATAATAATTTTTTACTGAAAAAATTCTAAATTTTTAAAATAAATAGTAAAATCTAAAGGCAGAAAGAATGACATTAGTAACAAATATATATTGCGTGATCTGAATATATATATTTCATGTAAAATTAGAAATTTTCTTAAAAATAATAATTAATAAATTTTAAATATTAAAATTATTAAATATATAATAAATAATTAATAATAATAAAATAATTTTATAAGATAAATATCCTTTATAACTTATATTTAAATTTATAGTTAAAATATTTTACTTAAAGAATGTATTACAATTATAATTATAGTTGATCTCTTATATAATCATACAGAAAAATAATATGATTTAAAAATATTATTTGATTGGCTAAAAGAGATTTTTTTTTAGTAATTTAGATTAATATAAGTATACTTATAAAGGAAAATATAATTATATATGAGGTGACTAAAGTTGTTTGTCTAAACTTATTTTGAATTTGACAATAATGTCTAATTTTAATTTTGCTAATTTTTTTTAAGGTTTTGATAGTTTTACATTTTTATAAGTTTTGATATAATTTTACCTTTTCAGAATTTCATAAAATTTTAATAAGATTTTAATAAAATTTCGCTAAATTTTTACCTTTTCTATTTAAACATAATATAATTTCACCAAATTTTACCTTTTCTATTTAGATGATTTGCAAAACTTCTAGATTTCATTCACTAATCTTAAAGGTAACTATAGAGAGAATCAACCATATATATAATATATAATAATATATATAAAACTTATGATAAATATTAATATAAGATAAAATAAATAAATAAAAGATTTATATTTAAATAAAAATAGGATATTTTTTAAAAAGATATTATTAGATATATATTGAAATTATTTAAAATTTTGTTTATTATTTATCAAATTAAAGTTGCTTATTTAAAATTATTTTTAAAAAGTTTTGGGTTTTAACCTATTGAATTTTTATAGTATAAAAAGAAAGGAAATTACCAAAAAAAATAAAAATTTTACTTAATATATTAAATATGATTTTTGTAATAAAATAAGTTTAGATTTAAAACAAATTTTTTTTTGAAGTTTTTTTTTTTTTTATTATTATTACAAAACTTTTATATTTGTTATATTTGTGATTAAATTATTTGTTTATAATAAATATTTTTATTAATTAGATTTTTCTACATGTTTAAGTTATACATTAAAATTAATTTTTTGATAAAAATTATTAAAAAAGTATTTAATTATAAATATTTATGGAAAATACTAGAATGGTAAATATTTAAAATTGAAATTTTTAAATAAATATTTAATATTATATTTAATATTGTTTACGATTTAATAATTAAGAATTTGAAAAATGTATTAAAGGATATTTATATATATGGGTGCTTCGTCACACCATCTTACCTAATAATTTATTATGTTATGTGTTTCTATTGGCGAAGCCCCATATAACTTACTTAAAAATTGTTGTCTAAATTATTTCAAAATTATTTAAAGACACAAATTTTAACTTGTTTATTTCAAATTACCTTTTTAAGGTTCATAATTAAATTAAATCTAGAACTTGAAATTCATTGGAGATTTCTTTAATTGAATAATATATAAATTATTATTATGATTTTCACTTTCGGAAATACCGTAGATACATCACGTGGTCAAATAGTATCAGATGTTACCATTGGGTCACGTAATGTTTTATTATGAGCGACACAAAAATTTAAATATTAATACTACTAAATTAACCGAATGATGATGTCATAAAGTTTAAAAAAAAACGAGATGTTCAACCAGTTCTTTTTTTTTTAAAACAAAAATGTCCGTTTCGGCAAAAAACCATTTCGGTGTATGCAATAATAGTTACAAGATACAATGACATAATGAAAAAAAAAAATATGGAAGAATAATAAAATCAGATTTGAGGAAGAATGATAAATGAAACAAAGATTTCCTTTTTTTTTTTTTTTTTTTTTTCCTTTGATGATTATATCAAATCTTATTTTTTTTTTTTTTTTCCCAAGAGTTATATAAGGCAGGAAAATTTTAATAAAGTAGTGATTGTATATATTATAGTTAGTATAACATAATGAAAGAACAATAGAAGTTTTTATTAAGTAGGTGGTACCTGAGATTGGATATTTCCGATTCGGAAATCAAACTGATAACTCTGATAACGGAAATTGGGAATTGAAAATGGAAAATTTAAATATGTATCATTGTATAAATGAAAAAAAAAGTAAAAATGAAAAAAGATTGTAAGAATTAAGGGTTAAAAAAACTAACCAAAATTGGGGAAAGGCCAAGCATATCGATCATTCGATCATATGACAAGTACGGGATTTCATGGTTTCAAATTTAAAGTTTTACAACACAAGGTATGTAACAAAATGTTTGAGAAAAAAAGGTCAATGATGCCAAACAGACTCCTTTTTTTTTTGATTTATACATCTAACATCAGGTTTCATCTATTGTTTTCCGAAATATTTATCGATAACAAAGAAAAAGGTATGACGGGGAAATAATTTTACCACGTTTGGGAATTTAATATTATTATGAGGTCGAGATTTGGATTACTTATTATTTTACCCAACAAAGGGATATATATACACACAATAATAAAAAAGATGAACAAGAGAGATACCAAATTTGTCAAAGAGTTAATTATGGAAATAATGGCAACAGGCTAAAGTTATTGCGGCCGTGATGACTTAAATCATTTATGGTAATATTGAATTGATTTACTCAATGTATACGATCGGCTCCAAAAATTAACAGGATTTACATGGCATGATGTGATAGAAATTGACGGGCGAACAATCACCGTAGGGTTTCTCTCTTAACCGAGAAATTCTTAAGAAAAAGGGTAGGAATGAATACAGATTTGTTAAATTACCAATTGCGCAAGAACGGTAATGAGGTGAACACATCAATCAAAATAAAAATTTCCTTTTTTTCCATTTGAGACATCATTACGAGATAAATAATTAGTAATCCAATGGTTGATAATTATGCGATACGGAACCAACCGAACCAACCATTCTCTTGTCCTTTGGTATTTTTATCGAGCTCGGCAAATCAATTTATTCTAAATTACTTTTTACATCCCATAAATTGGGAGACAATAAATTTTACCCTAAAAGAGCGTAACAAACAAGTGTAACACATAGAGTTCGAATGCTAATATAATACATTATAATACATTTCCTACATCATATCACCCATTATCATCGCTCCATTTATGGAAATTTATTATAAAAAGACAAATAAAAATTAAATAAATTTACACAAATTAATTTTATGAAGAATTAAATTATTGTTCTTTTAATAAAATACCGATAAACATCCAATTCGGATAAATAAATCTATATTCATTAATTTTACCACACTTGTATTCGTGTAAAATTTATGTGGCATTTATTAAAGATTTTCATAATCGTTTGTAGTTAATAAAAAGTTAATAGGTCACAAAATTATGAAAAATTTATCTCGTGAAAATGACCATTTTTCGACAAAGGAAGAAAGGGAAAAAGAAAAAGAAGAAAATTAAAATAAAGACATAAAGAACAAAAAGGGTTTAAAATATATATATATATATATATAAAATAAAGAGAAATAAAAAAAAGGAGAAAATAATATATAAAGATTAAAAATAAAAATAAAAAAGTAAAAAAAAAAGACGAAAAAAAAATAATTAAATAATAATAAATAATAATAATAATTAATAATAAATTAAATTAGTTTGTGAAACGTACTTAATTTCTTTTTTAATGCTGCGTTCAAACAACCTTTTTGCCAAGGGGCATATTACCGATGACTACGGCACAGCGCGGTCATTTAAAATAATCAAAAATAATTATTGATTATGCCAATGAAATTTACTATTAATGTCCTTTCCATAATAGGTTCGCATGATTATATGGTTGACTCGATTTAATGCATTCATTTCCTTATATGATGATTTCCCTGTAAGGAGTTTGTATAATAGAAACAAAAGGAGAAGTTGTTGATTTCATTTGAAAGCCTATTGACTTCTCATTTCCAATTCGGTTACATAAATAAATTAACTATTTATATATATTAATTCTATTTGATTTTTTAAAATATCCCATCACTTCGTAATATGTATCACAGTATATCTTTTATTGACTGACTAAAATAAATCTCATTAGGTTGCTCCTGATCTTCCGGCCTTAAGATTTTTTGGTAACTCAACAAAAAAAAAAAATTTTTTTTTGTTATGCATAAAAAACCGTAAAAGCCGTCTTTATTACAATTCCGAATTATTTTTAATATAAAGACACTACACATTCCCATCATTTCCCTCCTGTTCTTGTAAAAAAAAAAAAAAAAAAAAAAAAAAAAAAAAAAATTTTTTCTTTCCATTGAAACTTTGACAAATTTTATTCGATTTTTACAATTACAATTTATTCATTATATTATTCGTCCAACTTTTTCCTCGCGAAAACAAATTACCGTAAATCCCTCGCGATTCTTATCAATAATTCATTTAAAAACTCCTTTTAACTCTGAATGAAAACCTCATCATATACTACTTTAATTGTATTTATATAATAAGCCCCCATTTATATATAAACAACCATCATTCCATTATTTTTACCTTCGCAAAATTCGTTACGATTTAAGACAGTCTTGATATATTGCCTTGCTTCTTTTCTCTTCCTCTTTTATATTTCTTTTTAAAATTTTCAACTTTTAAAAAGAAACTGAATTTATCATGGCAAGTGCCGCTTTAAAAAATTTGGTTAACGGTCCTATTACCTCACAGATGATAGGTAAATTTTTTTTTTTTTCTCCTCCATCTTGAATTATATTTTGCTAAATGTTTATTTTGTTGTTTTTTTTTTTTTTTTTTTTTAGCATATATTACAAAAAAGGCAGCGTTAGTTATTCCTTGCGATCCTCTTACAAAACAAAATATCTCAATACAACAATCACCAAATTTTGGTGACGACGATCAACATCCTTTACCTCCTTTAAACAACTTCATACGTTGTCTGGTAAAGAATTCAAACGTATCAACCGCGACCCTTCTTACAACAATCGTTTACTTGGATCGTTTGCAAAAAAAATTACCAAAACTTGCAAGAGGTATGTCATTGTATGAATTACAAGTTTCATTAAACACGGCTTGGAAATCAGGTTTATTCCGTCTCTGATTCATTGGTCATGATGTAATGATTGGCTTATCACGTGACATGGGCTGACTGCTTTATGAATAGCCCATTTGATCGTTTTGATTGACGCATATGGAAATTTTACGGCCGAATTTATATAGATTATAGAAAATGATGTGTTTACTTTAAAAATAAATAAATAAATAAATAAATAGAGTAAAATATAAAAGAAACTAAAAAAGGAGAAAAAAAAAAAAAAAAAAAAAAAAAAAGGAAAGGGAAAATTTCTCGCCACGATTATCAACGATTAGTTGGGAGGCTCATTGTTTCAATAGTATTATGGGAATGGAGATGACCATTATTATCAGTTCGGATAATGAGTTTTTCGGCCGTGTTTATTGATACTTCCAAATTTGTATTAAATCATTTTTTGACAAACTGGTCTCTTTACTAGTTTATAACGCATAACTAACTAAACTTTTTCTTTTTAATTATAGGAATGCACTGTACTCGTCATAGAGTCTTTCTTGCTACCTTAATTGTTACCTCGTAAGTTTTCGGATTTTGTTATTTCTTGTTTGCTATGTAAACTTGTTATAATATTGTTTCATGTATTTATGGCATGTCATTGCATCAAATGAGATTCCCATTTTATACTTCTTATCTTTTCACGAGATATTACCATCATTACTATAATTATTATTTTGATTCATTTCTAACCAAACTATTTATTTATTTTTTTTATCATCTAGAAAATACCTTAACGATTCATCACCAAGAAACAAGTATTGGGCAAGATTTTCAGGCGTTTACTCTGTCGCAAAAGTTAATCTAATGGAAAGACAATTGCTCTCCTTATTAGATTATGACCTTAGAATTCAAGAGTCAGACCTATTACTTCATCTTGGAATCTTTTTACAACCTCCTTCATTGAATAAGAATCAAGCAATTATGATAGACGCTTTGAAAGTTCCAACCATTCAACATCAAAGAGCTCTCTCATATCCAAACCTACATACTTCATCTCAATTTTCACAATTAATACATCAAACACCTCCTCCGAGACAGGATTCTTACCTTATAAATCAAGATTCTCAACAAACTACGCAAGCTTCAATTACTTCCTCTCTTTCAATATATAATACAGGTGTTAATTCCATGTCAATACCTACTATCATTTCATCATCATCATCGAGCTCAAATTACACTCTATCATATCCATCTTCTTATATCGATGATTATTGTCAAGCGTTGAGTGGCGACGACGATATGGATACTGATGAAGAAGAGAAAGATGATCATGTTCCTAACGATGAAACTACATCAGTAAACGATGAAACATTTGCTCCACTAAAGATAAAAAGAGACCAATATGGAAGAAGGCTTTCTTCAACCTCAACTTGTTCTTCAGGATCTTCTTCTTCAATAGCTACTCCCATATCAGCTCAAGTTTATCATAACCAACAGCAACTTCATCATCAATATTATCAACAGCAGTTTTACCTTCAACAATCCTATTTACCTCAACAAAAGTGGAACATTCATCCTTCGTTAAAATCAAATTCTTCAATGCATGACGCTGGCGTCAACAACTTTGTTCCACCCTATTGCGGTCATAATCATCATCAGATGGTGTTACCTCCACCTATTCCCTCATCTACTATAATACAAGGGATGATATATACATCCACACCTCAAAGATATTAGTGCGAACACTCTCTTTTTCTATATAATTATAAAATTAATGAAAATGTCGGAAACCTTATTTTCTTGAACATTGTTATAATCATATCAAACGAAAAGGACAATTGGGCTGTTTAGCCTGTTTTTTGTTTGAAAACTTTTCTTTATCCGAGATATTTTCCTCGGTTAAAAAATCAAAAGTATAATATTACTATTAGTTTCTAGTTGGAAAAAAAAAAAAAAATAAAAATATTAAAATAAAATAAAAAATAAAAATTTTGGAATTAGATAAGAATTTTTTTTGTACGCGTTCTATATTAAAACATTTTTATTCATTCATTCATTCATTTATTTTTATTTCTTGTTAAATAATTTTTTACTTTCTTTTAATTTTTTTTATTCTTGTATATACATTTTTTTATAGAATTTTTCCTTTTTTTTTTTTTTTTTTCTTCAATTTGATTTTTCGATACTAGAACAGAAAAAAAAATAAACGATCAATCATATTGTATAATAATTAAATATTGATGCTTTAGTATTGCAAATTTTTTGTTTTATTAATTCTGTAACAAATTAATATTAAAATATATACGATTACGGAATTCTTTTTAAGTCATTTAGAAATCAATATTATTAATTAAAAAAAATTATATATGTATAATAAAATAGATTTCTCATTTAATATTATTATTTAATAAAAATTTCAAGGTTACTTTATTTGTAAATATCAAAGGTTAAATATATGTGAAGGGCGTCAAATTTTGCTAATTTTAGTTCCTAAGCAAATTTTGAGCACATGATTGTGATCAGCCAAGTGGACCAATTAAAAAAAATTTATCAAAAATTTAGATTCTCCCCTTTTCTATTGATCGCCTTCTATATATATATATTATTATTATCATCTAATATAATTTGTAATATAGGGTATTAAAATAATAAATAATAAATTTACATATAAATAAAATTTAATTTAAAAGCTTATATAATCTTATATTTATTTTAATTTTCAAATTTAAAAAAAGATTTAATAATTAATTAATAATATCTATTTTTATATAATTTAGTAATTTTATCAAAAGTTCTTATTAATAATTTTTTTTTATATAATTATTTATTAATAGATTTATTTTATACAGTTTTTTTTGTAAATATATTACCTATAAATACACACATAAGATTGCTAAATAAAACCTAGAAGTTTTACAAGTTGTCTAAATGAAAAAAGTAAAATTTAGTAAAAATATATTAAATCTTTATTAATAAATCTACAAAATTCTGAAAAAGGTAAAACTATATCAAAGCTTATAAAAATTCAAAATTATATCAAAACCTTAGTAAAAAATTAACAAAACTAAAGTTTTGACATTTTGTCAAATCCAAAATAAGTTTAAACAAGCAACTTATACACCTACTTTCTAAATACACTTCTTAAAAGTTAATGAATTAATGCTAAATACATCTTTTACTATTTACATTATATAACTAATTTTCTGATCTATTTACAATATATTAGAAATTTACTTATGTAAGTTTGCATAATTTAAGATAATCATTTTTTTGTGTAAATAAGAATAATTCAAATTTATATATACATTTATCATAACTTTTATATTTCAATTTTATTTTCAAAATATTTCCAGTTATATCTTATAAAATAAGCATTAATAAACTAAAAAAATTATATAAATTTATAAATATTCATTATTTATAATTTATAGAAAATAAAAATAAAAAAATTTATTAAATATATTAAAGTAAATAAGTATCCTAAAAATATTATTGCAAATTTTTTTTGTAAAGAACTATTTTTATTACTTTTACTATAATTTTTATGATAAAATCATTTTTATAATCTTATTTTCTAATTAAATAAATTAAATTTGTAAAATTTTAGTATTTTTAAAAATAGAAAAAATATTTATTTATTATAGTATAATATTATAGTATTTTTTTTTAGTGTGATCTTTTCAAAAAAATTAAATTATGAAAATTACATATTATATATGAATACTTTTCAATAAAAAGGAAGAAAACTACCAAAAAAATTTCTTTTGAATTAATATTAAATATGGATTTATTTACTAAAAAAATAATAGTATTTAGTTTATAAAGTAAAAAATTTTTTTTTAATATTTTTTTTACTTTTATTGCAAAATATCTATATATAAATAAAATATAATTCTAAGAGAATATATTTATAAAGAATTAACTGTAAACAATTTTTTTTAAAATTTTTATTTAAAATTTTTATTTATTATATTTATTAATATTAGTATAATAAATATTTAAATAAAATACTAAAATATAAAATATATTTAAAAAATTTTTTATTAAAATATCAATTACTAATATAAGTTAAATAATATTATAGATTAAAATATATTAGATTTAATATTAACTTATTTTTAACTATTTATTTTTTCTATTATAAAGATCTTATATTATACAAATAAATAATTTAATTAAAATTTATTTTTAAATAAAATAAATATAATTTTTATAAATCAATTTAAAATTTTTATTATTCTTTTTTTTTTTTTTTTTAACGTACAATAGTTTTGCACAATCTTTATTAAGAGTAAAGTAAAACTATAAATTACAAATAAGAGAGTACAAAAATTTCTATCTAGTAAGTACTAAATCAAAACCAACCTTGCACCGTTCTAGACTAACCTACCCTAAATTAATTTAAAATAGGTTCAACCATCTAGTATTGGGGGCCTGATTACTACTGATCCAAAAATTTGATCAATACGAACCAAAAAGGAATGATTTATGAAAGTAGGGAGGGATAATAAAGATGTGAGGGGTGAGGTCAGGGAAGCCAGTTGATACAGTATTTGCTTTTCGATCCTTGAGGGACAAGTTGTGTTCATCTTCAAATTTTTTGAGGGTAGCACATCGATTGAGCCAAAGAACTTTGATTTTTTCATGTGTAAAGTGGTATGTTAAGAAAAGTAAACCACGGACGAGTGACTTATTATTTACTATTTGATGTAGTTTCATTGTAAGCAAGGACAGAACTATACCTTTTATGAAGTCAATAAAATTAAAAGAGGAGTATATAAGATCGAGGTTTCAAATATCCATTGAAATGATGCTTGCTATATCAAATTGATGATTGAGTTCAGACAAATGCTAAGAGAGGAAGGCGATGGTATCTAATAAAATGTCGTTGAGTTATTGTAATGTATGTTGGTAAAGCCAAATATGATCAAAATTTTCCAAATTAGTAAGGTATTTAAGGCAGGACCATGAAGAATCATATAAATCAGAATGATGCTTTTTGAGTATCTTAAGTGAAGAGAGGAGTTCAAGCAGAAGTTTGATTTTAAATTTTCATATAGAGAAAGCCTTATAGGATATGACAGAGTCACTTTCATTATCATTAAACACGAAGGCAGTATTAATCCAGTCTACCTCTAGGGTTGAGTATTTTTGAAAATGTGGAAGTAGTTGAATGTTATGAAAGTCAATGGAGTTGAGTAGGTCTTTGGTAAAATGTCGTGAAGACGTCAAAATAATTTGGTTATTATAATGGAACGTATAGTCGAAACCTAATTTTATCTGTACTAGAGTTATAGGTGGACTTATTTCTTTGGCGAATCGGTCAACTTCATTATTATAATAGTTATCAGCATAAGCTTTGACTTTATAGAATGTGATATCTATATTTTTCTCTTTGAGCTGGCGAAAGAGTGAACACCAAATAGGATAATTTGAAACTTTAAAAATGGGGTTGTAAGTGGGAGTGTATGTAAAAAAGTAATTCATTTTTAAATAAGAGGCTATAGTAACTAATGAATCTGTGAAAATGTCAATATTGGAATTAGAGGGTGAAATATGAACTGCAGCCAGAACCGCTACTAATTCAGCTAGAGAGAAAGATGGTTGGGGAAGGGTAATAGAAGTATTGAAGGAATGAAGAGATTCTGATGGATTGACTTATAATCAGGCAACCCCTATACAAGATGAAGAACTACCTAAATTAGAGAGAGAACCGTCAGTATAAAATGAAAGAATAGTTGATTGTGAAAACAAAATCGATAAATTATCTAACTGAGTAGCTATATCAGAGGTAAAAATATTTGACGAAGCTACGTTAATCGAAGGTGTAGAAGGTTTAATATTAAAAGCGGGATCTGAATAAATTTTAAAATTAAAAAAAAGCCATTTTGAAGATCATATATAGGGAAAGGGAATAAAGATAACCAAGGTTATACGTAAGTAATGCATGTAAAAATGAATATAAGGGTAGTGCTAATTTAACAAAGTACGAATAATTTTTGTTTCTCATATTGAAAGATATAAAAGTGGTATTGTCATTCATAGAACAGCTTTTACACGTGATGAGAACAGATTTCCAAGAAGTTTCTACTTGAAAATGAAAGTATTGTATATGTAAAATGTTTGAGTCTATCTTAAGTACTTTGCCAACTACTGACGAATTAGAAGGCAGGTGCCACCCTACTGTAAAGTGAATCATACTTTTGATATGAACTGGAAGTCTAGTACGAATGATGTTATTATGAGGATGTTGGTATTGTGGTAGGATGTTTCTATTAGAATTGTTATGCAGCACTAGATTCTGAAGGTCAATGAACCATATTGGTGGTGTTAGAAGAATAAGTGCGACTGTTGAAAATTTGAGGTCAGGTAAGGTAAAGAGAGCTAATCCATCTGAAGTAGTTATCTGATCAATAAACATCAGGTTTTTCTTTCTTAGTTTGTCAGCATGTTTTCTAAAGGATGCAAGGCCATATATAATAATCAGGGGTGTATAACCTCTGATTATGGCGTTATCATTTATTTGACTGTTAGTTACTGTAATATCGAGTGATTTCAAGTTTGATAATAATGCAGACCACCAGTCTTTGAACTTGTAAGTGGCATCATAGGGCCATTGAGCAAGTGGTGATTGAACTAGCCATTCATTAATTTGGAGTTAATGACTACGAATTAACGTAGTATTTTCTAGAAGGCCTTTATTATTAATTATTTTTGTGAAGTTAGCAATTTTCGCT